ATTATGATGCTATTCCTACTTGCAGACGTCGGCTCTCCCAAAAGTGGATGCTACTATTAACGCGGTCTTGCCGGTCCGACTCTGAGTGTCTACTTTAGCATCAAACGATATGAGTCCCTGAGGGTTGCTATTCTGGAGGTGCTCAATATTCCAATGGCGTTCTCACCTGGACCACATGCATATGGCCAGCTGCTGCAGCCCACATGATCGGTGTTTGGTACTCCCGATCGTGGGCATTGACTTTGGCACCATTGTCCAGGAGGAACTTGCAGACGTCCCAATGGCCGCTAGCAGCCGCCTGACGCCACATGGACGACCACCATGATGGTGACCATCTCGGCTACTTACCTTCATCAGAGCGTTCTCTCCGTTCTCCGTCTGGTAGTCGACCTCCTGGGAATGCTCTGTGACGAGCCATTCAACAATGGGCAGCTGCCCAGCCATATCAGCCCACATGATGGCCCTCCACCTGAGTAGTTGGCCATTACGGGGGTATTCTCCCTTCTGGTTGATACCCCTCGTCATCCTTAGCCTCAGCATTCGCATGCAGTGATATCAACAGCTCGACAACCTCCGACTGACCAGCCTCAGCAGCTTTCATCAACGCAGTGACGCCTGACAAGGTACAGGAATAGTATATCCTAGTTATGCTAGGATCCCACCTTCATCGTCAGTAGCATCAACAACACGACGCTGTTCAGCCTTGGATGGACCATCGTTGAGTCCGGCCAAACTCACAGCTTGTGCCTTCCGACGTTGCTCTATTTGAGCATCGACCAAGAAGCTATGCACACACCATCTGGTCGGTGAGCCATGGGTCCAGACTTACCGTATAACGTCACTGGTGCTGCCGTTCTTAGCAGCCATCATGAGGGCCGTCTCCCCGGTATTGTCCTTCGCCGAAAAGCGAGCCCCTCCCTCGGAAAGTGCCTGGCAACCGATCACATCAAAAGCTTTGTGATGCGAGTAGCAACCGACCTTGCAGACGTCTAAGTGACTATTTTTAGCGGCATGCATGAGGGCAGTCATCCCGGCTGGGTCCTTCTGGTCAACCTATGCAAGCAGCCATCATTGCCGCAGTCGTCTACGCCTGTTCCCACCTTATGCTTTGGGTCTTTCAAGAGCTCTTT